GTATGGGTTGTAACTTGTAAGACAATTCTTCCCCAATATTTATCTGTCTCACTCTGATGCTTTCAATTTGAACCTAAAATTTCTTCAAAAAGAGATCATAATTAAGTTGTTTAGATCGAAGACAATGATTGGTACACTATCCGATTTAACATATTATACAATACATTCCGATTCAATCATTAAAATTTACTTTTGAAAATTTTGCGACTATAAATTTAAACTTGAAAATAATAATTTTTTAATGAATATATTGTACAGTGTGTAGTTGAATCAAAAAGTGTATCGGTAATTTTCCTTAGATCGATGGTAGGTTGAGATTTTTTTTTTCTAAAATTAATTTATTGATCATCATTTAATATTTGCTTCTTTTTTTTTTTTCATACCAATCATTAGATAAAAGATTCTTTTTGAATATTAGGAGCTCTCTATTAATTCAATAACTAATATTTTGTAATTTATTGTGATTCAAACTACAAAATAATTTTTTAATTTTTTATTTGCTAATTAATTTGTCCAAATTGAGATTAATACAATTCAAACGAGCAATACTAGTAAACCCAATCAGTACAAGAGCTAAGCAACAAAAATTTAGTTCTAGTCAAGGAGACCAGGACTTCCAGGAACCATGCCATGTTGATCAATTCACAGGGCTCAGTTGGGAATGAACAAGACCAGATGCTTGCATGCATGGTCTTTGTGGAGGAGACATTTAATTATAATTAAACAGAACAACTAAGCGATATAGTATAAGATATAACATATGGGATAATGTTTAATTTGTTTGTTTACTTGGTTCATTTATTAATTAAACCTTAATTGCATGTGTTGGGTTTGAAAGAACACTACACACATATGCCATGGCAATATTCCAGTTAATTTTGAGGCATCGAGCTCCCTTTAGATTAACATTTTGCAAAATATAAAACCTAAACTGTCCCGCGCAATCTCAATTAATCTAAAAATTGATTCACAATTAATCTTATTATTTTATAAAAGTCTTATAATTGTGACGCTAGCTGACTATAATTAATTTTTTATTAAACCAAATAACTGAATCAACTCACATTTATTCATTATAATAATTAAACAAAAATGTATTGCATAGTACAAGTTATAAAATTTAAATTATTAAATAGAATAAATTTTTTGATATTAAATTTTTTTATTTAATAATTTTATTTTACAATTTAATATACTGTGAACAATAAATTAAAAGACTCATAATTAAAACTTGTATTGCATGTAAGAGAAAATTGTCACCGTATCATTTCCTTGTTCATTCATGCAGGCATCTAATGAAAGAGAAAGCATCCTTGTTCCATTACCTATTTTCTAAAAAAAAAAAAAAGACAAAGCTTCCTTGTTTTATAAAATATAAGAAAAAAAAACAAAGAAAAGAAAGAGAAAAAGGATGGTTAAATTATTAATGGCATCATGCAACAGTATGCAACGTTGCAGTCAAACGACATGACAGGGAGACAAGGTCATGAAAACATGGCAGCTACATAACCATCTTTGAAACTTTAATTTTACTTCAATGGACGACCGATTATCTTGTACTGGGAAATCCCCTGCATTATTAAAGTTTTCTGTTCATGATGACGTGTTTCCTTACGGAAAAAATAATAATTAATTAATTAATTAATTTTTTTTTGGTGTGGAATCTGGACCATTCCCCTCTATAAGAACCCCCTGCTTCCACCCCAAACAATGGGATAATCATCCAAAACCTCTCTGAATTAATTCTTCCCCTTTCTTTCACTTTCCTGTCTTATTTTCTTACTTCCCAAACACAACTCAAGAAAGATCAGAT